TTTTTTTTGCTGTGTAATAAAAACAGTATAATTAAAGTAATTTAGTCATTAGTCGTACTTGTCTTAAGACGCAATCTTTCATTATTGACATTCACTCAACGTCTTGCCCGCTTGCGTAAGCCAGGAAAAGGACTAAAAGAATGTCGTAAATGACAAGCTGAAGGATATACATACACCACCAGTTCTTTATCAAATCAGGTATTAATTGCTATTTTTTTTTTATATGAATTATTATATTTTATTCCTAAAAAAACATGGGATCTAATCAGCGTAGTGGTTTCATCAGTCCATTTACAAACTATAATTCCGATTAAATAATTACTCTTTACTCTAATGTAAACCGTTTAAGGCATTTTCAATAACTGGCCATCATACATGGAAACAAGGTGTTAATAAATCATCTTTGTCTATGACATATATGACTACTCATATCTGAGCATATGATAACTAATACGTGAGATGAATACTACAACAATATTTCTCGTACACTCGAGAATACATTATTATATTATATTATGGGGAACGGAGTGCCTGAGTGGAGTAAGGCGACAGTGCCGATGCCCGATGTGCATCGTCGGCTGTTCAAACCTCAGTCATGGGTGGTTTTTTCTCTGTGGACTGGCAACTGTCTAAGGAAAAATAACAGCCATCACCACACCCCCTCCCCCGGCCCTCATATGAGAGTCAACGGGAAACCACCAAATGTAATTTTCCCAAATATTAGTGTATACCTACTGGCTACTCCAATAATTTCAATAGGAATATATGGTACAGCGGCACATCCAACCAAACCTTAGGTCCACACATAGGCGCAACTAAGGGAGTGCAAAAAGGTCTATAGCACTCCGAGTTTAAATTTAGCACCCCTTGGTTTATTAGGTATACCGTATACCTACGTTTAAATAAAATTATAAAATATTTATTTAAAAAAATGTAGTTCATAACACTATGACTTGAGTCACAATATTAAATATTAATTCGTTATAATTTATAACGAAGAGCCACGGATTTACAATTATAGTACCCCACGTTTTAGAGGTCTATAGTTGAGCCTATGGACCACAGCTTTTGCTCCACTGCATGGCCGTGTGACATCACAAATTTGTTTTCTGCGGCTTTTTTGGCTTTCGTGGCAAAATTTCCGATCGGCCTAGTAGGCGGTCTACATCAAAAGAAAAACTCACTGCTTGAGCCGCTCCGCTATGCCACGTGTGTGTGCGCCGATAGCCAAAGCCGAGCGGCATCAGTACTTATTTTTATAAATTTTTTAATTCTTAAATTATTTTTTAAATCATTATAATCGAAAATCAAATGCCCCATCGTCTGGACACATTTATAATTTATACTAACTTTAATAGCTAGATTTAAAATTTAAATATTTAAATATAAACTAATATAAGAATTAACACTTAACAGTGGATAATGCTGGGTGAGCTGGTATCTTAATATACTATTCAATATTAATTTACAAACTAAAACTATATGGGTTTAATGATCCTTTACTTTCTTGGTTTAACTCATTCCTAATAAATCGTATACAAGTTGTTAAATACGAACATTTTATATCTAATTCAATAAATGTATTATCAGGTATTCCGCAAGGTAACCACCTATCTCCATTACTTTTTTCTTTTTTCATTAACGATATTAATAAAGTTCTAAATTCTCAAAATGTCTATTATTTGCTGATGACACTAAAATATTTAAAAAAATTAAGTGTATTGATGATTCATTGGAACTTCAAGCCGACTTAGATAATATTTATAAATGGTGTATCTATAATGGAATGTCCTTAAATATTGATAAATGCTCCGTTATTTCGTACTCTTTAAAAAAAAATACTATATTTTATAACTATGTTTTACATAATACAAATCTAACACGTAAATATATTATTAAAGACCTAGGAGTTTCATTTGACACAAAATGTATTATCTTTTAGCAATCATGTTGACTCTATTCGAAATAAATCATATATAAAGTTGGGATTATTAAAACGTATGTCGTATGTGTAGTGATTTCAACGATAGTTTAGCATTAAAAATATTATATTATTTCTTAGTACGCTCCCATATTGACTATGCCTCTTTAATTTGGCACTCTGATAGCATTTGTCAAAACCAGAGTCTATCTAGTACACAAAATAATTTTTTGAGATATTTATCTTTTGAATGTCACTTTGAAAAACGTCCTCATTCTAGGTATATTAATATTAGTATTTTTTTTAATATTGCTCCTTTAAATAGAAGATTTAAAATGTTAAATTTAAAATTTCTTTTTAAACTATTACATAATTTGATTGATTGCTCAGAACTTTTAGAGCGTATTAATTTCAATGTAAATATAAAAAATTCAAGAAATAAACATCCTTTTTATTTATCTATTATTAAAACTAACTACATGTTATACTACCCTGCTATTATATTAATGTCATGTGGACATGTGGTAACATTTTCAACAACTTGGACCTGTTCAATATGACTCTTAGCTCGTTAAATTGTCATTTTTAGATAATTACCTACTATTATATTAATTTTAATCGAATTGTTATAATATAATCAATTGTCTAACTTTTAATTTCTATATATATACATATTATATTCTTTTTTTTTCTCACTTTTTTTCTCTCGTTCTTATATCATTTGTTTAAATTTTTTAGTATAACACACACCTATGAAACTGTCACTATTTTTATTATTGTAAATTGGAATTTTATTCCGTTAATAAAATTATTATTATTATTATTATTAATTCATTTTTATGAGAAAAATCTCGGAAATATCATTTTTTTACCAAAAATGATTTACCTAGCTTAGAATAATTTTTCGTATGCATATTGAATTTTGACTAACCATCAGAAAGCCATTCAATACATCTTTTTAAAAATTAATGTAGAAATTAAGTCACTATAAACTATATTTAAGGTGCTGATAAAATACAGTTATTGAAGTATTACAGTACTAAACAATTAAACTACTACAGTACTTAAGTCTCTACTAACTTATAACTAATAGCATAATAAAATAGAATAATATTATTATATGAATGTATAATTTCAAAAAATTAGCCTGTAAAAAACATTTGTAGGCATTTTATATACACTTTTGTATTACTTGTATTGTATAGTAGATGTAGAATGCCTTGCTACTATTGTCGGGAAAATAAACTGTTCTGTCTTTTTTACTTACTAAATTAATTAAATATTTTAAATTATGCCAGCAATTCAAGAAAGCAGATAATTTTGTGATACTTACACAATTATTTTTTATTTATTTTTTTTTATTTTATTTTTATTTGTTTTCTTATAACTACGAAGTTACATACCTGCTTTTTATCCTATCATTATGTCCACACACATAATACGAACTTAACGAAGTATGCACTATTATAATATTATATTTATATATACCTACTAATTACTATACTGCCTATGTATGAAATGAAATGCAGTATGCCACTATCATCAATTCTCAATATAATGTAGCAATGTTGTATAGAAGCAGTGGCGTGTATCATAAAAAAATTGGTGTTGCTCAAATAATTTTAGGTTACCTACTCCTCATAATACTGTTATACCGGCCTATAAAATTACCTATTTATTCATCTATAAATACCCACCCACCCTTATTTAAGGTGTTGCCCGTGCAACACTTAGACTCAATGTCTCAATGTTACACGCCACTGTATAGTAGAAAATGCGGCATACATTTACTTTTGCTAGGTACAAATCATTTTTTAAAATTTTTTTTTTTTGAAACATACGTAAAAGTACCTATTTAAACAAGTTAAGAACGATGGTTCTAAAATAAATAATAATTGAAATACTAATGTTTCAAACATTTTTTTTTTCAGATACACCTATTGGTATTTTTATTCTCAACGTGATGCTGTAATCAGAATTTACCTATCTTATTAAAAATAACAAGAATGATAGGTAAATTCTGATTTCATCAACACGTTGAGCACACAAATATCAACTTTTCATAAAATAAAATTCAAAAAAATCTAAATTCTTTAAACTAAAAAAAAACGAATTTTCCAAAAATCAGGCGTTTTGAATTTTTTTAACCAACTTGCAAATTAAGTCTTTTTAGAGGGTACCTATTATATCATCATCAATAATGTTTCAATAATATTCTATGCTTTAGAAATATTGATATTTATACATTATTGTAGTCATGTAGCAATGTAAGTAACATATTATTATTCACACTGACACTATTTTATATATAATAGTATATAGGTAATATATAATTTGATAGGCTGCAAGTATACCTAAAAGAATTTTGCTACCTACCAAAAGTTTTTTTTTTTCAAAATGTGTTTTTGCATGCTATTTGATGGTACTTTAAAAAAAATCTCTCAAACTTAATCTGGAAGTTATATCCAAAAAAATTCAAAATGCTCGATTTTTCAAAAAATTATGTTTTTGAGTTTAAAATACTAAGAATTTAAATTTTTTTAAATTTTTTAAAGAAATGTTGATATTTGTATGCTGAATGTGTTGGTGAAATCAGAATTTACCTATCTTACTTACTTTTTTTGTTATTGTTAATAAACCTACAATTAAGTTTTACGTAGTTCATTACCTATCAATAACCTAATATTATTATCAAGCCGTATATACTATATTATGATCTAAAGACCTGGTAGGACTGAGTCGGTGAAATGATAACAATTTGATAAGATTAACTGATAACAGCCACGAAAACTTTAATAATAATAATATAACTAAAATATAATTGCATAGCTATATGAATTATTATTATTTATTAGTAAATTATTGTCATTAACATTGAGTATAAAATATTAAGTCTTCGTTACATACCAAATGTTATAAGTTATTTTTACTAATATTTTTTAGTCTTGAATAATTACAGTGCTCAATATTACCGTTAAAATATATACATGTCTAAGTCCTATAGTAATAAATATTTCTGTTGTCAATTAATTATGAATTTGTTTTAAGTGTGAAATCGTTAGTGCATCAACTTTGGGATATGATTTTATATGCTTTAATTTTAAGAAGCCGGGACATCCTACCACTGACGTCCACAACCAATTACCACTGTAGTAATGGCGAGAGCGCCATTGACTTGAAACTAATTAACAAGATCGTAAAGAGTGTTCTAAAAAAAACTGATTTACCCAAAAATAAATGTTTCCTTCGCACCAACGACAAAACCTACTAGTATGTACATGTTTATTTTAATAATTTAATGATGTTATCACTATTTTTACTTTGTACTAATCTAAAAATTAGGCATGCATATAGGTTTAATACTACTATTTCCTAAAATATATATTTTTAAAAATGTTAATTCTAAAATATTATCTAAATTGAATGCTTAGACAGGTATTGAAAAATGGCAGTTAGCACTTATATAAATAATTACAATTTACTCCACATAAAAGGGTAAAATACCCATAAATATTTTTATTATTTTATAATTATAAAAATAATAATACTACTTACCTAAATAGGTATTTTATAAGTTTAAGAATAAGAATTATATCTAATAGATTATTATAATTATTATATAATATGTATTCCTAATAATGTTATTACCATTTACCATTTATTTTTTAAAACTGATTGTAATTCAAAGTTTGAATACAAAATTATGTAGGTATATATCAGATATCTATTAAATTAGTATTTTTAACTATTATTATAGGTATGATTCAAGACACTTTTGTACCTACCTTTCATTAAACTATACATTTTTTTACAGTTTTTCTGTTATCTATTCAAAAGTAGATATTCTTTCATGTAATATTATTTTCTGCTATGTGAAAAAATCTAAATTAGCAAGTAGAAAATGCAGACCTTATGAAAATTGTAAAACAAATGTTTTTACTTTTAAACATTAACATAATACAATTTATATTTTAACAAAAATATTTCCACAATCTTCTAATGTGATGTTATTTTTAGTACAAATATTATTCATGTTTATTAAAACATTAAGAGGACGTCACACCCGCATGTATTATCTCCGTCTTACAAATGTACAACATAGCAAAAACTGTTTGCGTGGGACAACTTTTATCATTCTGTGTTTGTAGTAGTGGCTCCAAAATTTCTGAATATATAGGAAAGAAAATTATCTATGCAACAGCCAGCCTATATTTTAGATAATATAAATACAATAAAAGTTATTTGCTACTAAATGTTTTGTTTTTTTGTTTTTTTATTTGCTTATAAAAAATGATTGGACAGTGCTATTAAAAAAAAAAGGTGTTGCACAGATAAAGTTCTTTTTTACGTGTTGTGAAAAATTGGTAGTTCTACAACAAATATGTTGCGAGAAAAGTGGTTCCGCGAAAATAGTTTTTGCTATGTTGTACATTTGTATGACAGAGACAACACATGCGGGTGTGACATCCTCTTAGTGACAAGTGACTATTTTTTTTTTTTTTATAGCAATGTCCTAAAACTTATTAGTTATTACCTATGTAATAAATTAACAATTTTAAATATTTTAATGTTTACCCATTTAATATTTTGTTTTAGCTTTTTACCATGTTTAAATATAATTTGCATGGCAATGTGCATTCCATCATATCCTCAAGTCTTAGCCTACAGCTTTTTAGAAGAACTAGCTGGAGAGTTTACAAAAAAATATGACCGTTTTAAAGTAGAACAAGCTTTGAGACCCTACAATCTTATTGAATTTGGTAATATATTTAAGATATTCAGTTTTAAATATTTTATGTTTCAAATCATACCTTATAATTTAATGCATGCAAAAAACATAGATAAATAATACCTATTAAATACATATTATTAGGGCAATAACTTTAATGCTTAAAACATTTAGAAAAAGTCCCTTAAACATACAATACAATGAAATAATATGTATTTAAAATTGTATTATTAAAAAACATCATAGTTTTTCCACAAAATTAATTTTTTTGCTCTCAGTAAATTTATTTCAGCCGCCTTATAAATCTCCACAAACTTTGCAAAATATGCTTTCATCTGTTGGTAAAATTCTTTCCCCAAACTTACAAACTTTAGGACATCAATTTACTAACATTCAGTTTTTTTAAAAAAATAATAAAAATAATTATAAATAGTAGTGTACTAGTGTAGTACCTAATACTAACCAAAAATACATTCATATAATACAGAAAAACTCATATGCCAAAAACAGATTTGACTGTTTAAATAAACATTCTACTTTTATATGAACATTTACTCATAAATTTGGTTGTTATTTTGTATGCTAATTAGATAATAATTTGTCGTTATCACAGTTTTATTACCACCATCAAAATTATATTATTTTAGAAATTTAATCGGTTTACATTAAGTACAACATTCTGCCAGATAGATCAAAGTATATAGCAAGGCTGCCCAAATTTCAAGCCTGCTGGCCACGCTATGGCCAGTCAACTCATTTGAATTTGCCCGCAGTTAGGTATGCGTTTATTTGTCACAAGCTTGTTGGAATTATTTTTAATTTTTATGTTTATAGATTTTCGCGACTGTTTGTCCGTCTTATATTGACAAGATTAGGTAGTACATTTTTATTCAAAGTATTGTAAAAATAGCTATCATAAGTATGAGCTACAATTCTTGTTCATAAGTTCATAAGATAAGCCAGGTTAATGTAATTGAAATTATAGCCCACTTCCAAAATGAATTGGGCAGCCTCGAAGTATAGCATATAATTTTATATATATCTGAATTTAGTCACAATGATCCCACATACAATAATACTTTTAAATTATCTTCCATTATCAAACATTTTATTTATATATTACCAAAAAAGTTAAAAAAAATCTGAAATTGAAAACACAAGTTTAATTTTTGAATTCCCTGATATATGAATATAATTTTGTGACCGCACTATTCAAAGAATATTTTGCATTAAAGTTCATGCTCTAATTGTTATATACCTAAATTAATACAAATAGATCTTAAATTATAAAAATATCAAATCAAGAAATCAAGAAGGGTCACTTACCACCTTGGAAATTGTTGTGCTTGGAAAATGTTGAGTAAAATTAAATAAAATTAATTCTATATGAAATTTCCCCCCCTCCCCCTAACAAAATGTATACGGGTGCCCATGAATCCAGATATTAATATATTATTTCAATTAAAAAATAATATGCTGCCTATAATATGTATGGACATATAAATTATAATATATATATGCATTCAAGTCTCTACAACTCGAAACTCAAGGGGAATAAAAATACATTATACTAAGTATCCCAAACACAACCTAAATACACTTCAAATTTGAGTTATCGAGACTTGACTGTATTTATATTAAATCATATCCTTATAATATGTATTAATATCATTTAGATACCACTATACATCCTATTCAACAAATGTATAATAAACCACAACAACTGACATCCAGGATAAATTTAGCTGAAATTACTCGTGATATCACATTAGATCCACCTCAAGAAGTATTTATTGTTGAAGAAAATAATGTTCATACACCACAAGTTATTCCTCCGACTGTTCGAGGTAAATGTCAAAAGTGCAATAATAAATATAAATTGGTATCAGGGGTGTATTTACGGGGGCGGATATGAGGACAAATCTGCCCCCATGGCTATTTGAATACATCTGTAGTATTAAATTATAATTATTACATTGTAATCTGTAAGCTAAAATTCCTGTCATCCGCCCCCTACAAAAAATACTAAATACGCTACTGATTGGTATAGCCGTATAGGCATAAGATAAAATAATACAACATACTTATAAATAATATAATACATTTGGTTTATTATTTTCAATATAATATAGTTATATTTGAATTAATCAAAAGTTTTATTTCCAAAGGAATTAAGGTTGATAATGTTATGAAATACAAATTAGTGTTTATGATTAATGAATGGTTTTGTAGTTCTTTTATTAAGTTTTTCTAAAATTGATTTATATTTTAGTTCTGAAGGGAGTAAAGTCTGTAAAGATTTTATAATGATGTTTTTATTTATTTTTGTCTGAAGTCACATTTTTCTTATTTAGTAGAAAAAGGCTCTGATTCTCAACTTTGATACATGGTAGCAAATAGAATTTAGTTTGCACTTTTTGAGGTGTCAAAATTAAAAATGTTTCAGTAGCTACTTTTTAAAATAATTGAAAATTACACAAAAAAAAAAATGTCAATATTATTATTAACTAGCTGATCCCGCGCTCTTCCTTGACCGTAAAAAAATTACAACTCTTAAAAAAATTATGATTGTTCAACTCCTCTGGGTGTTAATTGCTACAGTAAGTGTAACTCAGCCACCTTGGTAGGCAATGTGCGAAAATTTGATTTGAGGTAAGCTTGTACCTAGTCTGCTCCCCATGGCCCATTAACCACTAGCAACCATTTATAAACAAACATTTCCATCGTAAATTTCAAAATTCCTGTTTGAGCACGCCCGGGTTGCACCTACAAGGTCCAACTGTGAATCTAAATCATCCCGGGAACAACTCAAACACCCACAAAAAATATCATCATAACGTTTAGGTATGCTTAAAGAACAGACAGACAAACATTCATTTTTATATATCAGATAAAATTGTTTGATAACCTTCTCTATAAAAAAATTTGACCGTCTTCACTCTGAATTGTTTTTCATTGTATTCAAATTTAACACATCAATTATAGTGACATACTGAATGCAAGGTATTTTTGTATTAAATGTTGTCATACTATTCTATGTGTCCGTTTTCACGATTTTCTTGTTTCTTAACATCCAAACATAAACTGTTTTTTTTTCTTCCATTTTTAATATTGCATTACAATATTTATTTATTATAATTTTGTTAGAAGGTAACTCTCTACTTTACCACAATCTATTAGATATTAAAGGAGTAAATTTATTTTATTGTATTTATTATATATGTCATAACTACATAACTGTGTTTTAAATAAAAGTAGACAACTGTGAAATTGTACATACAATAGCACCTCTGTAGTTCATCAATTGTATCATTATAGTATTTTAGAGAATCAATAAGTACCTAATAATATGTAATTAATATTTTTATTATTTTGTTTTTTCAGTTGGACCACTGCCTACTTTAGAACCTTTGTCTTTCATTGACAAAACATCTTTAATTTTTACTATATGTTTAATTGTTCATAGTATTGTCATAGTAATGGATACATGGAGGAGTTGGACAACTGAGGTATGAAGTATTGATGATAATAATAATGGATTATATAGTGTAAATAAATGTATGCAACTAATTACATTTTTACTAGAAACTAATTATGTGAAAAAATTTAAAAAAAAATTATGTTTGATCTTCACACAAATCACTAGTTTCAAATTTAACACAATCAAAATTTAACTTGTGTACTGTTTTAGGAAGATGAATCATTGGATACTGGTTGGCTTCACTTTTGTAGTATTCTCTTCCGATTAGCTCAGATGTATGTCCTTACGCACAAGCAAATGTATAGATGGAAGAAAGGATGGACACTGTTCTTAGTGCTATTAGTTGTAGATTGGTTTCTGTATTTCAACGATGATCTATGGCAAGTGATTTTAGTTTATGTCATTACTACACTGACACATACATGCATACTTAGACGGAAAATTGCCATTAAGTTACCACAATATCAGATTTAAGTATGGATAAAATATTTTAAATCTTATTTTATTATGACATTTGTGCATTAAACATAATTTGTTATTCTGTTAACCAAACAAAAAATTGTATAACAAATGTTTCATTTTATACAAAAATTACAATATAAAATAAATATTATAATCTAGTTTTTTTCTGGTTCATTTGTACTTGTTGATATATATTATTTATTTACAATTATTATTGTTCTATTGTGATAAAATAATAATAATAATAATAATGAGATTTATAAATCTTGTGTCAAGATAATTAACAATATACAATTATGAATAAGTGTTATTAAGTGTAATTGAATATGGTATTTCCGTAATGCTATGTATATTATTTGATTAGGTACATAATGTGTGCTCGGATTCAATATTTCAGTCCATCGGGATTTTTATTTGATAATTAATTATTTGCCTATAATACTATTAAACTAGTCTTGCTTGTGGTTTGTTTTGAAAGTGGAAAATTTATATCACTTTTATCATGAACTGCAGGGTTAATATTGGTTTAAACATTTTTGTTTTAAAATGTATTTAAGATTTTATTATATTTTTTTATAACTGTTATTAATACATCTATTTTAGATTTAAATTTGTAAAATTAAGATATGTATGTAAATATAAGTTTGTAAGTATCTATCACAGATATACCAAGCAAAACTTACATATTTTAATAAATATTGAAAAAACAAATATATTATTACTATTGACCATGTATACCTTTCATAGCAATTTGTGTCATCATGGTTATGAACCAATTCATTTTTATCATCGTTTAAAATTAACATAAGCTCTGCAATAATAAATTTATTGATTTTTTTTTTTATCGATAGTTCCATGTTTAACATGCTCTTGAATTAATTTGATTTCAAAGTTTATAACACCAATGTTTGATTTGTATCAATAAATGCGTCTTTTGGTAAGAAAGTGTAATTTATTTTTATAATAAAATATTTAAATGTTATTGATTATTATAGATTTGAACTGTGTTGTATTTATAATTTTATGTTTAGTAGGTAATTAATTATAATCAAAACAAATAGTATTTTATTTACTCAAAAGATAAATATCATTTTATTACTCACTTTATTATATATCACTTTATTTTTGTAATAAAATTTTAATATATTTAGTCGTTAATCTACTATAGGCTTTTATTTCATACAAAGCAAACAATTTTTTTTATATTTAAACGGAGAACATTATTAAATTATCATTAAAAAAAAATATATATATATTTTAATTAGGTACCTAATACATGACGTGTTTCCAGGGGCGGACTGGCCCGGGCGGAGAGGCGGAAAAGTCCGCCCGGGCCGCCTGCGCGCACGGGCCGTTAGGAAAATAGGATTATTAATAATATGATGGAATAATTTTTGATTTTATAAGTCGAAGACTTCACAGCTGTTGTATACAAAATAAATAATAATACAAGAGTACATGACAGAATTGGTACAGAGTTGGTAACGTAAAATGTATAATATCGAAACAATAATAGTGGTTACGTACCAAGTAGATCCCCGTACGTCAACTGGATCCCCTTGGACATTTAGAACCTCATAGACATATAGATCCCATACTAACTATAATCTCCTTCGTCATTTAAATACTCAGATTTTGGCGGTAATTTTAAAACTTATAAAAATACGTAAATACTAATAAATATAGTTTAATTTATTCAACTATAAAATAGCATTTATAAGTTAAAAATATTTATAAAATATAAACTAGGTATAGGAGTAATAGTGATAACTAAGTGATGCTTGTAAAATTTCTAATTTTTTCAATTTTAAACCTATTATTG